GTTAAGGCTGTGCTCTCGTTGTTTTGTCGTGTTTTTCCTATAGATAAACCAAATACTGCACTTGTCAACAACGCGTAGCTTTAACATCTCACCTGAATGACCGAGCCTCCAAACAACACCACACACTTCCCCAACCCCTCCAACCCCCTTCCTCAGCGCTGTGCTGGAGCTTCAGCCTGGACTTTCAGCCTAAACTTCTCGACATGGGGGCTTGAGCCCACGAACATCTGATCCATGAGCGAGAGAGCGAGCCACCGAGCCTGGCTGACTGGTAGCTCGATCTCCACAAGCGCAGTTTAACACAGACATCTCCTCGTGACAATTAACGGACCGATCTGTCCAAGGATTAAGCCAGGAGCAAATCCTCCCCAAAGTCACAATTAGCCTCGGAAAGGGATTTGCTGTTTTACCCCCAGCTTAACTGATCAACAGCTTCCTTGTCTTTTCAGGCACGAGTTAATAAGAGATGAGATTGTCCTCTTTCTGACATTGAGCGCTTTTAACAAGGTAAAAAGTCAATCGCTGTAACCAATGGCACTTAGTGATAAACAGCACAGACCCCCCCCCCCCCCACACACACACACACAGAAACAGACACACATCCTTTTTGGAGAGGCTTATTCTTCAGATTAATTCGGTGTGTCCAATTATTTTTTCTCTACACTGACACATGCCAGGTCACTGTTGTTGGCTTCCTCCAATTCCCCTCTCTCCACTGCCAAGTGGCCCATTGCACACATGCCAGTCTTGGCAGCGGGTGGCAATTAACTCCTCGAGGATGGAAAAAGTCACAGACGAGCCTGACCTCTCCCCACCCTCCAGCAACAGACACACACACACACACACACACACAAATTAGAGGCACCAACAGCAGGAACACTGGCTGGTTTTCCCCTCCCTAACCCTGGGAAAGCAGCGAGGCAATTTAGCCTCTCCCAGACTGAGACCAGCACACTTCAGCATGGACCAGGATTGGTGCGGTCTCAGTCTCTAACCCACTGCCCTGTCCACTACACCCTCGGGGGCTGCTCAATGAAGGGCTTAAGGCGGTCATTTCTCACCTGCTCCTCGGTTCCCATTCACGCCAGTTTAGTCGCACTGTTGCTGATTGTATGACAAGAATAACATTGGTTGCGCAAGAATAAGAAACTGGACAGTATACAACAACAACAGCTTGCATTTACATAGCATCCTGCGTGCGGGGTAGCGCCTGGAGAGCTTTGAGACATCTCGACGACCTGATAAGGCACTGCATCAAACACAAGGATTATTGTTGATATAGTAACATTTGGTTCTCCCACCGAAGGGTCAACAATAAAAATAATAATAACAATCCGTGCATTTGATACAGCGCCTTATCATGTCGTCAAGACATGTCAAAGCACTCCACAGAATACACTGTAAGGTGTACTTTGTGGGGGCGAAAGGGTTCAGGGGTGGGACAGTGGAGGAGCCATTGGGATTCTAGCAAATGGTGCCAGGGAGGGTGGGTGGGAAGGAGGTTCAAGCCGGTGTGAGTTGAGTGGCGCAGCCTGGGTGTCCGCTATGTCAATTGAGCCATCGTGGGGCACGTGAACAGCACTGAGCACTTTGGCAAATGTAATAAATCCCTTGACTTCAATTGTCGGTATGATGGGGATTCAATTCCCCTGGAGGGACATGTTATTCACAGCCTATTATTGCCAAGCCATTGCCAGCACCTGCTGTCCATTAATAAAAATATCACAAACAACAGCAGAAACATCCGTTGAGCGGTCCTCAGGGCATGTTGTTGCCTTGGCAACGGGATGCCCTGCAGGGCTTAATATAGTCACTCTAAAAATACCAGGACAGCAACAGTAGGCAGCCCATTATATAATCATTCCTTGCATCTGATACATCGCCTTTCACGTCAAGAGGGCATCTCAAAGCACTTCAAAGGATTCACTGTAAAGTAAAATAGCGACTGTAGCAATATTTGTGCACGGCAGTGTCCCACAAACAAGCGTAAAGTGTCCGTCCGATTTTATCTGGGGGAATATCAGCCACTGGGAGAGAGAAGGAATCGAACCCAGGTCCTCTCGCTTGCGAGGCGAGGGGTCTAACCACTATGCTACAGGATTCCACAGTGCAACGCAACCATTCTCCCCCTTCCCCCCAGACTCAATTAGTTCAGACTCACTGGAGCTGCTCAAACAGTTAAAATGAAGAGTCTTAACACAATTTCCCAGGGAACAAATGTTTCCATTTCATACAGTATTGGAAACATTACGAGGTCTTCCGAACCCATCAATTACCCTCTCTCCCATCGCCCATTAGGTGGAACATTTCCAAGCTAGTAACATGATGTCTCTGGAGTTGTCCCTCAAATGGTGATGGATGGAGACATCTGGACCTGCTACAGAAGCGAGTGCTTACTTTGGGAGCCTGTTTATTGACTCTTAATGAACAACTATTAATCCTCATCATCTGAAGCCGGGCAGAGAGCCTGATGTTGTGAAGTGCCAAACTTTGTGACTCATGCTGCCTGCCATTCCGTCTTTCGGGAATTCTAAACCTGTTGCTTTGCCCTGGAGACTCATCGCATCTACACAGCCTTTGTCCGGGGGACGTTGAGTTCACAGTCCAGGCTGATAGTCAAGTGCAGTACTGGGGGGTGTCGGGGGGAAGCACTGCACTGCATTATCAGTTGAGATGTTTCAGTAAACTACGGATAACTCAACTCTGCCTTACGTTATTTGTACTGTACCACTTAAGTCGTTGTTCTGTCAATATCCCGGCCACATTTATTTATGCATTTATACATATGCCTAACTCGCCACTCCTGATAACCTTTTGGAGTGACGAGTTATTAGGAGGTTACTGTACTTGAAAAGGGAAGGGAGTTTCTACTGGGGTCAACAATCGGACAGATAATAATAATAATAATCCTTGCATTTGATATAGCCCCTTATCACGTCGTTGATGATGTCTCAAAGCGGCTTCCCAGGATATACTGTAAAGTGAATCAACTGTGTGTTTTGTGGGCAAAACATTTTAATTATTCAAAATATAAAATATTGAAAATATTGGGCACTCGCTTCGTGGCAGCTTGTGGGACGTTGTTGCGCCCAAATTGGCTGCCGCAGAAGCATTCCTCGCGTTCAGCAGAGTATTTGTGCACCTAGCTCTCCCAATCCTCGTAACACACTTCTCAAGCAGATGCTTGTCGGGTTTTATTTAGAAGAAGGAACTTGACACAGCATCTTGTTGCATCAAAGAACAGCAACAAGGTTGGTAAGCATCCAAAGCTTTGATCAATTGATGTTACATGTCAGCCTTGAAGCTTTGTTTGTGGTCAGCTTTCATTTCCTCACGCTCTCATCTCATTTTTCAAGGCTTCATTCTTCCTCTTCTGGGCAGGCTCCCACCTCCCTTGTCCTAATTTTCTCTTCATCTCCCTTTTAATAATAATAATATTAATAATAATAATCCTTGCATTTGAGGTGGCGCTTTTCACATCTCAAAGCGCTTCACTGAATATGCTGTAAAGTGAATTGACTGTATATTTGTGGGCGAAACGCAGCAGCCAATTGCGCACAGCAGCGTCCCACAAACAGTCGTGGATTGAGTGACCAATTTATTATTGTTTTGTTTCTTTTGGAGGGCTTATTATTAGGCGTGGTATTTACCGGTGGAGTCCTTGTAGCATAATGGCTACAACACGCGCCTCACAAGCGAGAGGACCTGGGGTCGATTCCCGGGCAGGGCGAAAGGTTGGGCAAGTTTCCTTACTCCACACGCCTGTTTACCCAGCAATAAAGTAGGAACTTGGTTGTCAGTCGATTGGCGGATTGCTTTTCCGGGGGTAATAATTCCTTCAAAAAAAAATAATAATAATATGGTCGCTCAATCCACGACTGTTTGCGGGACACTGCTGTGCACAATTGGCCCACAAAATATACAGTCAATTCACTTCATGGTTTATCAAATGCAAGGATTATTATTATTATTATTATCATTATGATTTCTATCTCCATCGCTCTTTTTCTTTCCAGTCAAGCTAACTGCTATACCCCGGGGACTCCACATTTATCATTGGTGATTGTTAAGCTTGTTTGTCCTAATATTGGTGGCAGTCGTGTGCGGGTTTCAGACTGCAGAGAGAGAGAGAGTCGGATACGAACCCAAGCCCAGGCAATCCTATCGCTACCTTGTTGAAATTGCTTGCTGTAATCTGAAATTGACAGGATCCTTGAAGCGATGAAGCCGCAGGCTGTCGCGAGCAGCCGAGCGGAAACAGAGGCTTTGGTACAAGAGCACAACACTGGAGAGCAAGCTTGCCCAGTGTTTTCAGAGATTGTCACTGCAACACCGTCTCGCTCGGGTAAACTCCGGAGATCAGATCGTAGTGTTCCTGCCAGGGAACGATGGGCAGGAAGGAGGCTGCTGCCCCTTGTGTAGTGAGCGAAGCCATCCCCTTGTTGCCAGCAGATGACGGGCACGTGATACCCAGAGTCACCGGCGACAGCTGGCAGCGGTTGTTCTGGAATTGCATTTGCAATTGATGCAAAAGCAGCGCATTTGTGATGTGCTTATTCGGGCACACTGCTGCCTTCTCCACACACACGCACGCACGCACACACACGCTCCTGTAACAATCTCCGCATTTGATATAGCATCTAACAACAACAGCATCTAGAATAGGTTACTCTGGGACGCTGTATAAATGCAAGTTATTGTTCTTACAATATCGAACTCTCTAATAGCACAAGTAATTGTTGTAAAGTGCAGTCATAACTGTGCATTTACGACCGAACGGAATGGGGCAACCAGTTTACACAGAGCACTGTCCTACAAACAGCCAGGGAGTGACTGAGCAATTTCTATCTGGAGGATTGTTGGCCAGGACACTGATGGGGTTTGTTGATCTTGTTTGTAGTTATTGCCTTAGATTCTGACTCCTGTTTTTTCTCTCTCTCTCTTTCTTTCTCCTTCTCTCTCTCTGGTTCTGGCGCTCGCTCTATCTCTCGCACGGACAGATCATGCTGGTGAGTGACCCTGAGATGGAGAGCAGCGTGCTGATCAGCTCTGACGAAGGAGCTACCTATCAGAAGTACCGGCTGGGTTTCCTGATCCAGAGCATGCTCTTCCACCCTCACCAGGAGGACTGGATCCTTGCCTTCGGACAAGACCAGAAGGTGAGAGATGGCACTCACTGTCACACACACTCATTCTCACTACACCCACTGTCACACACTCACACTCACTGTCACACACTCACTCACTCACACACACACACACACACTCTCACTCATACACACACCCTAACACAACCATAATCACTCAAACACAAACACTCACTCACATACAAGTGAACAGAGGCGTATGGAGTAAGGAAACTTGCCTAAGGTTTTGCTCCGCCTGAGAATCGAACCGTACCCTCCACCCCTCAACATCAAGCTGTTTTTTAAATGAGATCCAGTGCCCTGGCCTCAACCACCCTTCCTGGAATCCTTACTCCAATGGTTTAATACCTAATAATACCTTACTTTAATACCTTACTCCAGTGGTCTCGTAAGGAGTCAGAAGTAAGACTTGAATTTATCCAACCTCAACTGTCACACATGACATCTTGGCAAATTTAAGTGTGTACAGCATTATTGAGGATCATCAATTCAGCCAATTAATCTTCATCTGTAAATACAAATGAAGATTATTAGTCAAATGAGGAATCCCTAATTGTTCGAAATCAGCAAGTGCGGCGCTGTTGAGAATTCAGACAAAGCTGTTCAGCAATTGACAGTTTAATGAATATGCTAATTTGGTCTGTTTTGCATAGATGTATTGGGTCAGTGATTAATTGGACATTGTCATCCCGGCTTAACTTCCCCCACAGTGGGTGTGGTTGGGAAGGGAGATAGGAAGAGGGTTCGCTGAGCAAACGGAGTGGCCAAGTCAGTAGGGTTATCGGAATTTGTTTTCATTTAGCAGAAATATGGGCTTGATTGTGGGCTGCAGTGTAGATTTTCTGTAATTATTACATGAGGTTTTATTTTATTAATTCCACCTTCCCTGCAGCCTCGTTTCACTCTTCAAAGTATGTTATTTCACCCGAGTTCATTGGTTATTCCACTGGCCCTGCGGTGTAATGTCAATGACGGATTTATGTTAACGTCCACCTGAATAGGTAGATAGGACCTTGGTTTAATTTCTCATCCGAAGGATGAAATCATCAGCTGGTGGTGTCATTTCACACGTGGCAAAGTGCAGCTGCTAATTAACATTAGTCAAAAAGGTCAGGCCATTTTGAATATAATCTCTTCAGATAAGAGTCTGCACTGCTAACTCACCAGCCTACACAGATGAGTTAGTGGCCTTTCACGCTAATCAAAATCTGCCTACCTGTTTTACAGTGTGTTACTCTTCACGTAGCCACTTACAGCAGAGCTTTAAATGTCGAGGTGATCATCAATGGTTGTGCAGAAAAATATGCGATTATCCACTTTTTTGGGGGTTCCCTTCGGTTTATATGTCAATTAGTTTCCTACAAAATCTAGTCACGGTGACAGACGCTGACATTCTCAGCAAATGCCAGGTTGTTCAGCGCTCGCGCAGCGTGAGAGCAAGTGAGGTTTCCGAGGTTTATTTGAGATTACGGGCACCGAGACGCTACCCCAGGTGAAAGGTGCTGGGTAAATGCAAGTTGTTATTATCCCGTCCGTCAGATGAGACGTTAAACCGAGGCCTTGTCTGCCTGTCTAGGTGGACACTAAAGATCTCGTGGCATTATTCGAAAAGAGAAGGGAGCTTCGCTCAGTTTCTCTCAATTCTCAATCAATTTACACTGTATTCTGTGAAGCGCTTTGAGACGTCTCAATGACGTGATAAGGCGCTATATCAAATGCATTGGATTATTATTATTATGGTTAAATTATTGTTCAGTGTTAATTTTCTATAACAGGTCACTTGACCCAACTGGTTTATGTTCCACACAAACCTCTACCCCTCCTGTTCTGCCTTACCTACACCCGCTCTATTCCCATCTCGCTCGTGTAAGCTTCCTCTCAAATATGTTGAACGTCCTGCTCTTGTTACAACAAAAATAATCAATCCAAAACCATCGGGAACCTTATGCTTCGCTTTGTCACAGGCNAAAAAAACACAAATGGAAGTAGCCTGACGCAATTATAGACAAGGGTTCCAATTAAACAGATCAATCAATTTCACTTCAGTTAAACAGAGTTGGAGACAGATGGATAGTTTGTGATGTCTCTCGCACCAACGAGATGAAAGAGGGTTGGCTGCTGCTGATTAGAGACCGTGTTACTGCTAACATTGCCACAATTATCGGATAACAATAAGAATAATAATCCTCGGATTTCGTATAGAGCCTTTCACAACCATCTTTCATCGGATGAAGAAGGCCCTTCAGCCCATTTGATCTCATCCTTCCAGAACTCCTCATTACAGCACTAAACTGCTTGTTGGCATGAGTCCTTTCATGGCGTGAGGACCTCTCAAAGCACGTCGCATGATTTACTGTGAAGTGTCATGACTGTGTATCTTGTAAAGTGGCCTTGACAAAATGGTGGAGCAGGCTGGATGGGCTGAGGGTTCTACACAAGCTCCTTTCTTCCTGTCTTTGATTGAATCCTGCCGCTCGACCATGCAGAGGGACCGAGAGGTAAATCAGTATTTACAGTAAATCTTGTGAAACACTCTGAGATGTCCTCCTGACATGAAAGGTGTTGTGTTTCATCAACCTGTGCCAAATATCTTGGGGTATGGGGTAAGCAGGGGAGTGGGACTAGTTGGATCGCTGTTTCAAAGAGCCAGCATAGGCAAGAGTGCTGTAAGATCCTACGATCTTCTGGAATTAGATAAGCATGGTTCGTCCCTCTGGGGGGAAGGAGAGAGCGAGAGAGAGAGAAAGAGTGAGTGTGCATTCCCTTCCAGACACGGGGAAATTCCCATGTGTGGGTGGTGTACGTATGTGGAACACTCAGCCTGCTTTGGATAATGTGAAGCATGGAGACACGTGTCAGACACCCGGCTGGTTCCAGAAAGAAAACGTATGATAATATAAGTAGTGTCAGCTTTGGTCAGTGAATTGGGCTGCCCTGCCATGTTGGAAACGCTCTCTTTATACTTCCATCATTTCACAATAATTTCTGCGCTGAGGCTAATGAATGCAGACAGCCGGAGTTAATGGGATTTTTCGGGATGCGATGTTACTTGCCGAGTCTAGTTAAAGAATTCTGCTTCAATTAATGCAACTTGGCAGCCACCAACGGCAATCCCCAGATAAAAAAAACACAAGTTTTACATCAAGAGCTTTGGATGTGTTAACGGATTGTGGAGGTCAGTCACAATTGTGAGCTTCTTTGCTTGCTTTGCTCTTCTGCACTCAGAAGAATTGCTCTCTCAAGTGTAGTGACTGTCTTTGTAGAGGAACGCAGCAGCCAGTTAGGTCCTGTAAACAGCCACGAGGTGAATGGCCAGTTTTATTAGGGGAATTATCAGACAGGACACCAGGAGAGAGAAACTCCCCTCGTTTTTTAATGTCCTGCTGAACAGGCAGACAGGACCTCTGTTTAGTAACGATAATAATACTTGCATTTGATATGGCCTGTTCACAGAATATATTGTAAAGTGTAGTGACTGTATTTTGTGTGTGAAACGCGACACCCAGTTGTGCACAGCAGTGTCCCGCAGACAACCATGGAGTGACCGATTTTATTTGGGGGATTAATGACCAGCACACCGGGAGAGAGAGAGAAACTCCCTTCTCTTTTCGAATAGAGCCACGCGATCTTTAACATCCACCCGAACAGGCAGACGGGACCTCGGTTTAAATGGTTCATCCGAAGGAGAGCACATCCACTCTTCCCCCGCACTGCATTGGAATTTCAGTCTAGACTGTATGTCTTCCAAGTCTCGACGTAGGTGGAAGGACTTAAACCCACAACCTTCTGACTCTGAGGCGAGAGTGCTACTGATGGAGCCAGGCTGACACACAAATCTTTTATCTTTCGTTTGCGTGTACAAGCTTCCCTCTTGAAAGCCACAATGGACTCTGCCTGTAGCTCCCTTACTGTAGCAGGCAATTCCATGTGCCAACCGCAGAGGGTGGGTGGGGGAAAAGAAAAGCAGCAATTGAAAGCGTTATGTAAATGCCCGCAATTAAGAAGTGCGTTAATGCAGCCACGCAATGGAGAGTCATTTAGTCTGATTTCGCACAATCCAGGTAATTTGATGCTTCCTGATTACACTCCCCATTAGAGCTGCCAAATAGTTTGCAGTATGCGTGTGAATCGGCCGCTAAATTATATGAGTCGTGGCAGAGACGTGGTAAATGTGTGATGTAGAGTACTACAGTTGTCAATTGCCATTAGTTGAGTGGAACTAAAGAGCAATCTGGATGCATTATTTGTGGTTGGCGCATTAACTTGCCACTCATCTGGTGTTCCATGCAGGGAACGCAGTTTGCAATGCCTGTATTAAATAAAACCTATTTTTTTTACACACACTCCACGCTCTGAATGTTAAGTGGGGTTTGTGAGGTGGAACGAGGCAGAGAAGCTACCTACCTTCAGTCAATCAGTTGGCTAAGCATTAGACGTAATACCACAAGGCAAAGGTTTTATTTTATAATAATATCATAATAATAAATGATCCTTACATCTGAAGTCATTTTATTTGGGGGACTGTTAGCCAGCACACTGGGAGGGAGAAACTCCCTTCTCTTGTTGAATGCTCCCATGGGATCGTTAACATCCACCTGATCAGGGGTTTTGGTTTAACGTCTCATCCGAAGGACGGCATCTCCGACGATGCAACACACCACCCCCCCCCACCCCCAGCGCTGCATTGGAGCGTCGGCTTAGACTATGTGATGCCAAGTCCCAACGTGGGGTTTAAACCCACAACCTTCTGACTTCACTGGCGAGAGCGCTATCACTGAGTCAGGCTGACACTCGAATACATATTAAAAAAATCAAAAGAGGTTAGGTTTGAGACGCCAGAGAATTTTGCACCAAACGTCTGAAATAGGGGAGCGGAGAAATGAACACGCTGCAGAGCAGTTCATTAACAGCTGCGCTCAAATTTATGTACAGCGTCTGAGGGTTAAATTAAACGTCCGTACTTATTTATTGCTTTAATCTAGAGAGCAGTTAATTAGACATTGAACTTTTGG